CGCCGGCAAAATTTTCCGGCGACCAGCGACTTTTCCGGCCAAATTTTCCAGCGAACCTCCTGGGCCCCGTTTTCCGGCCGCCGTCGACATTTTCCGGCCGGAAACGACATTTTCGACCTTCCGGGACCGTTTTGAGCCGTTGGAGCTACCGAAAACCTTATTTTGCGGCGATTCTATCTCCTTCACCCGTTTTCCTTGGATTTTTCACTCTCTTTGAGCTTGGACACGACTCATTGCTCGATTTTTCTTACTCTTGGCATCGAGATCATCGTTTTACGAGGTAACTCACTTAGACCTACTCGTGCCATATGTATTTGAATTGGGCGTGACTTTATTGAGTTGGAGGTGATATATACTAAGTGTGGGGAGGTGTATCAGGGGCTCGTGAGTATATATTGATCATTTGGAGGATTTTGGCTAGTGTCTTTCGGTGTGAGGGTCGTTTGGAGTTATTGTTGATTATTTTAGGGGAAATGCGGTGCACTTTGGTGTTTGATTTGAATTTCACTATATCATTGGTGGTCGGTTGTGCTTGAGGGTATGTATTGATTGAAAAGTTGATCGGGTCATGCCATGGCGAATATTCTTATGGGGCTAGAGGCCCGAATTTTTTATCTTTCATGCATACGTGTGTCTTCGTCGAGTTTGTGGATTCTCGGTTATTATCCCTCCGAGACGCATACATGTGGCCTTTACTCGGAGTCGGCGGAAGGGATCCTCTTATGCTTTCAAATGAAATAGTGCCCGGATGGTTTATGGATCGTCATGCTTTTATTGTTCAATTGTTCGGATGGCTTTATATTGCACTCGAGGACTTTTGGATCATTTCTCGTTATTCCCACCGGACGAACACCATTGGACACACGGTGGTGCCCCACCGTGTGGAGTACGCATTTTTTTTTCTCTTCTTATTTTCTCTTTCTTTCTTTGCTCTTTTGTGTCTCCATGTTTATTTTCTTTTAGTTTATTTGTTTCTCGTGTTTTGTTTCATTTTCATCGCATGAACTTACATGATTATGTGCTCTCTCTTATGCTTTTTGGTCAAGCAATGTGGACATTGCTTTGTTTTAAGTGTGGGGGAGGGATTTTCGTGATTATGCATGCTTAGGCGTCATTTCTCTTATTTTCGGTGCTTATTTTTGTCGTGTCTTGGACCGGTTTTGTTTGAGTCTATTTTGTGTTTGTGTCATCTCTCCCGCATGATGCTCAATGTTTGTTCGAGAGTCGAATAGCTAAGTGGTGGGTCGAGATTGTTGATTGGTTTCACTATTAACGTTCGTGCTTTATGTACTCGATGAATTTGACGGTTTCCTTAAAGTTAAATGATGATTCGTTGACATTGGAACCCGCTTGTGGATTCACGGAATTGTTTTGTCCCTTGTTTGTTCTCGATTGATTGTCTTGAGGCATGCTTTCTTTATGTTCGATTATCGTTGTAAACGTGTTATCTATGCACTTGTGGTACGTCTTGATGATTATTGATGTTCATGTTATTGTATTCTTGATGTATTCTTGTGTGTCACTCCCTTCAAAAAGAAAAAAATAAATAAATAAAAAAAATAATAAAAGCAAAAAATTTTGGAATAAAATGTGAGTTCGCGGGGAAGTACGGATTTGGCTCCTCTTATTTTGAGCCACTTCGTGGATTTGGATAATGAGCCCGGGAAACCGGTTTAGGAAACTCGGGGAAACCCCTCGAGGTTAAACCTAGATCATCTCGTCCGAAAACCTCGTTTGGAAAGAGAAGCTCACGAAAATGAGTTCGTGGGAGTCGAAAGGATTAGATTCCTCTTGGCTAGGTTAATCTTCTAGATAGATCGGGTCAATGAGCACGGGAAACCGTCCTAGGCGACTCGGGAATAACCCCCGAGGTTAAACCTAGGTAATAATCGTCCTAACGGCTTCCATTTGGAAAAAGTGACTCATTAAAAAAAATGGAAAAATGAAAAGAAAAATGGGGGTTGGCTTATGGTCTCGATTTTACTATCCTATACATTGAGTAGACCGGTTTGAGCTTTTTGCACGTGTTTATTGTAGAAGGAAGTTTGCATTGAGTAAATCATGATTGAATAACTTGGGACTTGTTTTTGTTTTGTTGGATTCATATGTGGGAACCGTGCTCTCGAGTTTGAGTTTTACTTTGTAAATAACCAAGTGATTAGGAGAGTACATAATGCATGTTTGTTGATCTTGGACTGCTCGATCTCTCCTTTCAACACTACTTGTTGTTTTGTTTGCTTGAGGACAAGCAAAGGTGTAAGTGTGGGGGAGTTGTTTGTTGTGTTTTTGTGCTTATTTTCGTGTGTTTTGTGTGCTTTGTTTTATAGTTTTTAGGCTCTTTTTAGTGTCGACCGGTCCATTTTATCGTATTTTGTATATTTTTATTATTGTATAGTGTTTTTGTATTTTTGCGCGTTTGTCTCTTGTTTTAGTGTTGAATAGGTCCAACTTGGCGATAACGAGGAGACGAGCCGTCCGAACCGTCCAACCGGAAAATCCCGCCCAAGCTATACCGAGAAGAAGAGAATTCAATTAGGAGAATATGGGTCCAAGTTTCGTGCGAATTGGAGTTGTGTGCGAGAAGTTAGAGCAAATCGAGCATCAAGGGATCATGGGACCATTTCCAGCCCGCGAAAAACGATTTCGCGCCCGCGAAAAGCCTGTAACCCGCGAGTTCGGCTAGAGCATGTCCAGAGGTGAAATTTCGAGCCCGCGAAAATGAAGCCCTAACCCGCGAGTTGCCTCTAACCCGCGAGTTCACCTTCTAGCGCCCCTAAGCTGCGAAAACTCACGCCTTGCTAGCGAAACACTTCTCAAAGCCGCGAGTTTCATGCTAGACACATCTCAGCCGCGAGTTTCTCATTGTGCGCCCGCGAAAATCACCTTCTAGCTCGCGAGTTCGCCTCAACCTGCGAGTATCTTCATTTAACGTGTGTTTTAGTGTGTGTTTGTGGTGTAGCTATAAATAGACATCTTGCTTTGTAATTTGGGGGAATTCCTCATTTTGCTAAATTTTCCTTTTTAGTTTTTTGCTCTCTTCTCTCTCTAGTTTTCTTTCTCACTCTAAGGGCTCCAAGACCCTATTTTTAAGTGTAATATTTCTCCATCAAGATTACAACTTTTTGGCTTATTTCTTCTCGTGGATGCATTAGAGACGTGGAGACTTCGCTTAAGGTTCATGATTTCGTTAGTCTTGCTTGTCTTTACTTATTGAGTTATTCTAGGGTTAAGATATGCACATCCATGAGTCGATTATGCTATCATCCTCGTAGGCTAGGGATTATGTGATATTGTTATTGATTGCGTGAGCGAGAATTGATTGATAGATTAATTGATCACGAGTGACTATTGCTTGGTTGCATGTTCCCGAACCTATGAGGGCCTTCTTTCCATCTCGGGTCTAGGAGTACCTTGTTATTTCTCTTTTTATTTTCCTTTTTCTTGCAATTTGAGGTGTTGCTTGCGATAAAGTTTGAATCTTGCTTTAATTTTTGCTTAAATTGCGTTCTTAGCTCAATCCGAACTCCAAATCATGCGAGTAGAGTGTTTAGGAATTTTATTTTATTTTCTTGTGTGAGTCGATCGTTGTTTGAATCCTTGTCCGAATAGCCTTCCTTTAAGAACGACCCGAGTCGGGTAGCTCGGTTACCACATGCCCAAAAATACTACAAACAATAGCATGATGTTATGATAGTGTGATGTATATTACAAATTAGGGTAATTTTCTTTTCAATTTTTTTGTTATTTGTTGCTTTTGTTTAATGATATCACATCTTATTATAAACGTTATTTAAAGTGATATTATGACATTTAATAATAATAGCTAATATTTTCCTTTGTTAATTTATTTATTGTTATTTTGCAGATACAATAGCAACAACAGATTGGAGATTGATATTTATTTCAATTCAAATATGTAATTTTGTAACTTAAATAATTTTTTTATTAGTTACAACTAAAATAATTATATATCAATGTTTACACGTTTTTTGTCCAATAATTCGAATAAAGTTCATGATTTTAGATTGTAATTTAATTTAAAAATAGAAGATAACCGTTTCAATATAATAGGATATATGATTGAATGCTGAAAATTTTGGAGGGATAATATAATTTAGTGTTGAAAATTTTGGAGGGATAATAAAATTAAATGCTCAAATTTGGAGGGATAATATAATTAAATGCTCAAATTTTGAAGTGATAATATAATTAAATGATAGGTAATATAATTTAATGCTTTGTTGCTCCAAATTATATATATATAGATGATAATAATAATAATAATAATAATAATAATAATAATAATAATAATAATAATAATAATAATAATAATAATAATAATAATAATAATAATAGAAGATTGTAGCATAAAAAGATGGTAAACAATAATCAATCTTATTAAATTTATTATTATTAATTAAATATAGAGAGAGAGAGAGAAAAATATAAATGATAAAGTTTGTAACGATTTTTAGAGGAAAATCGAAATGAAGTTTTATCAAATGTTTTATGAAATGTTATTAGTCAGCAAATATATATATATATAGATACTATGTACCTCGCATCAAAATCTGTAGTTGCAGCTAAATTGACGACAATTTCCACTTGCTCGTAAAGCTCTTCCAAAATGGATCCGTTTAATCCCATGTAATCACAAGTAATGTCGCCTGCTATCACGGTGATTTTGTCCTGGATAAGAGACTCCAATTTGGGACCATATTTCTCCTTTACAACTTTGAACAAGTCCTTCGCCATCACCTTTCGGATTGATTAGTTACAAGGGATTGAAATATTATTAATCAATTTGTATATATTAAAAATGATCAATTGTTAAATCATTTGTTTAAAAAAATATAGTTATATAGATTCTTATTGTACAAAGTATAGATAATTTTTTAAAAAGGAAAGATAAGGTTGTAAAATATATGCAGTCAATGCAGCTATTATTAGTTATACCAACCAAAAGAACCAAAGTTTATACCAAAAAAAAAAAAA